TGCACCAAGTCATATTTTTTTGTTCTTTGGCTTCATTTGACCCATTTTTGCTCACTTTTTGCACCTTTTGCTCTTAAACTCCATTTCATGTACCTAAAGTTAAAAACACACAAAATATATTTCATTAAAGCGAATATCCTTAAAAATGAGCATGAAATACACATATAAAAATAGGTATTTTTAAGGCGTGTCAATTCCCCCAAACTTAAACGTTACTTATCTTTAAGTAACCCTTGTACTATGTAAACCAAATATAATAACTAATGGTAGTGAGTATCACTTTAAGAATTTTATTATTTTGACTCGTAAATGTTATAGTGAAACTACCTCGACTGTGATTTGAGTTGCAGTATTTGCTTCCACACACTTAGAGAAGTAATTTACCATGGAAAGCCATAAGTTTCGTTGTTCTTGTGATAGAGGAAACAATCTAAGGATATCGAGCCCCTAGACTATGAATGACCATGGGTTGACGATCCGTTGTAGCTTGTAGAACAATTAGTGCTACATCAATGATAATCTATGGCATTTCTCATGCCTTTCTTCAAATTGCTCAACATCCTCATACAGGTTTGGCTTGAAATAGTCTTGTCTTTGTCTCTTTCAAGACAAAGTTTTTCACCAATAGTGGCTTACACATTCGTCGAAATATATTTCTCTCAATATTTCTTCTTTTTCATTTTCCTTAACGTAACTCAAGTAAAATGATGTGCTTGAACTTCAAAAAAGCTTTTCCTCAATCAGTAAATACTCAGTGGCTTTGATCTTGAAGAGCTCTAGGTCGATTTCCTCCTCAACGATATTTCTGGTCTTTAGAAACAAGATGTACGAATCAACTTAGCTCTTTGTTCCCTAGGCTTCTTATTTCATTATAATAGCTTCTTTGAAAGTTGGTCGGTGAAGACTCTTAGGTGTCCCTTCTTCTAATTGGATGCATTTGGACAGGAGATCGCCCACTTGATTATACACTCAAGAGATGTTTTCAATCTTGAAAGCTTTGAATTTACTTGTCTCCGTCTAGGTCTTGCAGGGGTGTTGAGTCATCTTCTCATCTTTGACTTTGAATTGTCCATTAACCAAATTTATCACTTACTGTGAGTAAGATTTCACCATGAGATGTCATGCACTGCTGACCTTGTTTTTTTAATATGTCCTTTTCGTGACATGTGTTTTAATTAACTTTATTTCACTTGAATAGAGTCTTGAGCAAACCTAATTTAATAAAACTAAAACTTATCTTAACAAAATCCAAATTAACTAAAACAAACTCCAAACATAACCCATTTTAATCAAATACTATAGTTGACCTAAAATCAACCATAATCAATAACATCATAATATTATCATTTTCTCTTTCAAGATCATTGTAGGACTAAAAACTTTATTTTGAAAGTTGCATGGTACTTAATGTCATATGTAAAGTCCATACAAATAAGTTTGATGATCATTTGAAACAATGTTAAGTAAAATTCTTTAATTCAACTTTTCATGCATAGAGAGTATTTCCTCACTAACTCTAGAATTGTCATTTTCTCCACGTGTTAATCTAGCAATCAAAATTATATTTTATAAATTGCATAATCTTCATAATCACATATGGGGAGAATGCAAACCAGTTTAATGGGCACCAGACACTATTTTTACGTAAAATTACGTATTTATGATTTTCATGCATGAAAAATTATACAACAATAACAACAACAACAATAAAGCTCTAATCCCACAACGTGGGGTCGGGTACATGAATCATTTTTCTCCATTGCTTCCTATTTAGTGTCATATTTTCATTTACTTCTAATAAATTAAGATCATTATTTATATGATAAGCCCAAGTCTTCCTAGGTCTATCTCTACATTTCTTAGCATAAGTCGAATCTAGAACATCTATTCTCTTAATCGAACCATCAGATGGTCAATGTTTAATGTGACTAAACCATCTAAGAAGAATTTCTCTAATTTTGTTCGTATGCATGAAAAATTATCTCAAATAAAATTTTTTTAAAGATACATTATTTTTCAAAATAAATTTTGTCATTGTGTCTGTATCATTGATACCTTTCAAATGAGACCATCCACACATAAATTTGTCTTCATTTGGAGTCTCATCTAGTTGATGGCAAATAGGAGAAAAAAAATAATAATTTCAATAATAAAAGGGTATTTTGCATATAAGTGACCCAAATTGAGCTCAAAATGAAATTAGACTTCAATTAAAGTTAATCTAAATAAGAAAATACATAATTTGATCCAATAATGTCACCAAAAAATTCTAACTCAAAATCCACCAACTTTCTCTCTCCTAGGGTATGGGCTGACCTTGACTTGAAATATCTTGGCATAGAACTTATTTTAATTAAAATCACTTAAAATATCAAATTTCATGTATTTTTCTCTACCTATTAAGCCTAAGTCAAAATTCTGACTATAACCACCTCATAACTACCCTTGCACTTCAATTAGTTGTCTTCGGTAATGAACCACTTGTTTCAAAATGGATTGAACCAATAGATTTCTTGTTTCACCTTTTTTATAATGACATATTCCATATTTTCAAAGTTCCCTCTATGCTCTCGTTAATCTAGCCCTCCATTTCGCACTCCTTCCTCGTCAATCTGTCCATCAACCTCTCCACATCATCAATTCTCCCTTTTCTCCCTCAGTGGCCCACCTCACCAATCCTCTCCTCCCTCCTTCACCTCATCATAACCACCTTAACTCTTATGACCCCTAAATCATCCCATTAACTCCCCTCACTGAAATTTCTCCCTCTTGATTCCCATTTTAAAAATTTTCACTTCACTCCTCTCCCTCTTATTTAACAAAGTTCTCCACAACTCCTCATTCCACTACCTAATTTGAACCCACTCTCATTCAACCTCTTTTCTCCTCTCCTCCTGAAATCCTTTCATCCTTTCTTCTCTCCATCTAATCTCTTCTCTAATACCAAGAAGATCCAAGGAGGAATTAAGTGTAAGAATATCATCAAACAAAGAGGAATCAAGGCTAGGAAGGGCATCACTGTTGGCAGCTATTTTTCATACAACACACATGGTAAGTGTCTTTTTGAGCCTTGAGATGCATTTATAACCCCTATCAAAGTCTGAGGTTAATGTCCTACACATTTCCAGACTTTCGAGATTCACACGCGGCTTGAAATCCCCCAAATGAACTTTTCTAAAGGCCCACACTTGTTGGGGGTTTCGTTGTGACCACGCCTAGAATGGCATGGCTACACCCAACCCCGGGCAGGAACACGACGAATTCTGGCGTGCCCACGCCGCGAGCTCCTGAAACACGCCCAGATCATCCAGAGTAGGCCTCCTTCTTGTATAACCTAAGAGTAGGCCTCCTCGTCGAACAAACAGAGCCACCACCGCTAAAGACATCATCGTTGGGGTTGTCTCCAACACCTATGAGCACCGCCTCCATCCATTCGGTTGACCATCCCAACCGACCAACATCGTCGGCCGACAACCAGATGTTGAATTAGACGACCACATGGGCTGGCCGCCACCTATTAACTGATCAATCGACCAGTCACCTGAAGAATAAGTGGCCAACCACACCCTTATCGGCCGACCACCCGACCAATCACTAGAAAAGAACAGGTCGACCAAAAATCTGCCTACTGGTCACCGGACAACCCACCTTAAGAAGGACCGACCGGCCACCTAGGCCAACCAACCTTGCCAGCAGGCTACCCAGCCGACCCCCTGAAGTTGAACCAACCGACCACTTGGACAGGCCACTCATGCCTGCTAGCCCCGAGCTGGCTGCCACCCCGGTGGCTGCCTGATGTTGAACCTATCGGCCACCCTCTAAATCCATTTAAATTCCTTGGGCACGGTCCAAAGATCAACAAATTTCATATATATTATGCGAAAAAAAGAATTATTTTTAATTATTTACATTCTTATTTTTTATTTTTGTATATTAAAATGCTAACAAATTTTTTTTTCGAAATATCTATTGTTGGCCTTAAGCTCCAATAGAAAAGATTTTCGTTCAACATGAAGCCGAAACGATTCTTATTGCTCCACCTTATTTGTGACCACGCCAAAATAAGTTTCTAGATTGGCCATTTGCTTGCCCAAACAACTGATTTTTAAATATGCTTACCGAGTCTCACCACAGATCCATTAGAGCAAGGAGGGGTGTCGGGGGCACCAAGTGTTGCTAAAGGAGAAATAGCTAGTGCAATATGATTCAGGAAAAGAGAGCCATTTGATCATTAATTAGTTAAATTACTATCCGAAGAATTTTTCATTTGATATTTCACCAAAATTATTTGCCAAAATACCCGTAAGAAAATACAATCTTTTCATATGATAGTCATGTGGCTAACCATGCGCTTACATGTCTCCCTAATAGCTTGTTAAGCTAAAGATCTAATCTACTAGATTCCTCTCTTTATCTAAGCCTCAACCTTTGGAATTACATACATATACCAAATAATTCTTATATACCTATCTATTCTTTTTAAAAAAAACGTTCATATTTGCTTGAATAACAATCAAATCTTTAATATCATATGCAAAATTCCACCACTAATAACCTTTAATAAGTGAAATATTATTTTTTATAAATATGTTATGCAGTTAAAATATTATAAAAATTGAATATCTTACTTTGTATATTAGAATGCAAATACATCAGAATTGTGGAGAAAATTTTTTGTGCGTCAGAAAAGTTATTCAGAGGGTATTAGAGGATTATATCCATGTTATACACTCTGTAACTTCTCTGTAACCTACCTGTAACCTACAAATATATGAAAACAAAAGCGCGGAACTTACTAGAAGGTACATGTAGGTTACAGGGACATTATAGGGGATATAACGCGGATATAACCCCCCAATACCCTTTGAATAACCTCCCATACTTATGCAAATTTTTCTCAGAATGGTTGGGTATATATGTAAAAATCTTAAAAATGTATAAAATCAAATTAGCTCAATTGCATTAACAAATAATTTGATTTATGTTCCTTTTCCACCTAATGTCGAGCTCATTTTCCGTTGAAGTTAATGACTCCCAATCCCAGGACCATCCCTGAGTTAAAGAACACAAGACAGTATCATTATTTGAAACAGTAACAGAAGCAGAAAAAAATGAAGATAAAATAGAGGATAATGAGAGAAGCAATATCCTCAATGAATAGCTTCTCCCCATCTCATAATTTATTCATTTAAACTTAGTAGCAGGCACAAACTGCTAATGGAGGTGATCAGAATTAATTGCTGGAGAAACTGGCGTTTCCTTTGGGCTTGCGGTTGCGCGCAAAGGTGATATGGACACCGGGGCTGTGCTGCATGGTGGATGAGTTCAGAACTATAGAATTATTAATACCCTGCACGTTACTATTCACCACCGCCGCCATATGCTTCGTCTTCCCTCCCTTCTTCCCATCCGCGTGCCCCTGCTCCATCTTATGGCGGGGCGGAGCAGCAGAGCCGATATCCATAACGGCGCCGGTGTTGTCGCCGGCCATGGTGATTACCCTCGGCTTCTTATCTTCGGTCGTTGGGCTATTTTGCTGCTTTTTGTCGGAGTCATGGTTTGCTCTGCTTCCGCCGCTGCTGGTAATTGTCTTCTCTTCTGGAGGCAGGGGAAGTGGAGGCTTGACTTCAGGCTCGGGTTCTGGGATTGGTGGTGGTTGGATGAGCGTGGTTCTGGTTTGGTTGGGCATCGGGGAAGGGGGCGGAGAGGAATTGGAAGGCTTGATTACCTTTGGAGATTCTGGTGGCGTGGTGGAGCGTGGGGGCGTGGGAGGCGGCTGAGAGTTAGTGAAAGATGGTGTTTTTGGTGTCTGGGTGTGGATTTCTGGTTGTGGAGTTGGTGACGATGGAAGGTCAGGTAGCGGTTCGGGCTGCTGCGTCAGGGGAAGAGGTGGAGGTGGAGGTGGAGGCGGCGGCGGCTGCAGGGGTGGTGGTGGTGGTGGTGGGGAAGTTAGTTGTTGTTGTGGCCGGGGAGTGGGGGGCCTGG